TCTACACAGTCAGAAAGGATTATGGAAAATAACTCAGCCACAAGCACAAAATATTCCCAAATTATTACAATGGGTGAGGAGAGACTGGATCTGATTTATAGGTTAAAGTCTGCATTAAAGAAAGAGGGAAGGAGACCTTTCCTAATGATTCAAGGTGTGACTTTGGGCAGGTAAATCAGTCACTTGTCTCTGAGTTTTAGTTTCATCAGTGAAATGAGAGGGATGGGTTATACGACGGGGAAGTCCATCCCAGCTACAAACTGCTACAGAGCCAGGCAGAGACTCAGTCTCCATTTGATTTAAGTATTCCATAGGCACATTCTAGTAAAAGCGAAAAGAACTGGCATTCCCGAGTGCCTCCTGGGTATCAGGCTCTGTGCTAACTGCTCTACCTGTCTCAGCTTATTTAATGTCCATAGCTGCTCTTGACAACTATGTGTACCTCCCTATTGTAGAAAAGACAAAAGCCAAGGCTTGCAACTTGCCAAGGTCACTCAGGTGGCAAGGCTCACCCTCTTTCCACGGTCCACACTTGCTCTCTGGCTAACCGTGGCCCGGCCACACCAGCACGGCTACCGGTAAGGGAAATCCTGCTTGTCCCCACTCCATTCCCCAAGGCCAAATCCCCTAGGCAACGGTGCCCAGGCTGGGTAGCAGTGCAGGGCAGCAGTCAGACGTGTGGGTTCTGGTGTCAGTGTGCCCAGTGTCCGCATCTCGCCTCCACAAAAGTTGGCTTTCATCAAACTCAGCCCCCCTGAGCCTCAGGTTCCTCACAGATCATTGTACCTATTTCCCAGGGTTGTCCGAGGGATTAAAGGAAATCACCCATATAAAGCTCTCAGCAGACTGCCTGAATACAGTAAATGCTCACTCATTACTTCCTACCTCGCTGAAAGGAGGGCATATAGGCAGTGATAAGCAGTTTCTAAATTAATCTATGGCAGGAGTATGGACCTGGGGTCCAAGAGCCCCCCGAAATTATGTGCCAAAAACTGTATTTGCACTTTTCTTCAGGAAGCATCTTTAACCTTTGTCAGATTCTCAGAAGGATCTGTGGCCAGAAGGAGGTTCAGATCTTTTGACTGTAGATGCAACTTCCTACAACATAAATTATTTCTGAAATAACAGGACTAGCAAATGTTCCTCAAATCATGAGAGAAGTTGCTGAGTCCTCTCAACATGGCCTCTTAGCCATGTGGGCCTCCAGGACTTATCACATAGCCCCAGAAACTGTGCCCACAGAGCTCCTGGGTTGTTCCTGGAAGAAGGTCTGAACATACACCACCGAATGAACAGGAATTAGGCTTCAGGAACCTTCTCTGCCAGGGCCAGTTCAAACAATCCGTTCTTCCTTGGAGAACAATCAGCGTATTTGTTTTCGCATACCACTAAGTTAAATACACAAGGAATGCTGGCCCTTTGCTGGAAGCTCCCAGAAGCACCCAGAGTTATTCTGCTCCAAGGGGAGGCCAGAGCACCTGATTCTCCAGGCCAGCCTTGCCTCAGGAGGAGCCTATGGTGCCACTGGAGCCTTTGGCCCAGTAGGCAGGGCCCACGCGGCCCACCGGACCCTCTTGGGTTGTTGGGACAACCGTCCTCAGGAATTTCGGCCTCCCAGTCTTGCCCTGGGTGAGAAGAGGAGAGAGTTGGCAAGGCTGGCTGCCTAGCTGCTCTTCCAGCCCGCTGGTGAAAGGGGAAGCGGAAAACCGGATTCCCTACCCCCAGCAGCCTCCAGGCCGGACAGCGCACAAAACAGCTCGGCCCCAGAGGGAGGAATGTGCCAAGACATTCTTCAGGGTTGGTAACCCGAGACGCTATTTTGTTCTTCGTGGCTAAGAAATCACTTTTCTGACTGAAGGACCGTTTGACTTACTTCTTTTCAATTCAAGGGAATGGGTGGGCATCTCCTTGATTCAGGTAAGGAAAAACCCAAGACAAATGTAAACACACACACACACACACACACACACACACACACACGCTTAAGGAGAATTTTTTTTTTACGTGATCCTTTGTTTAAGAGCATTAATTAGTTGCAGAGATGTGACTACCTTGGCAGAATTTATCTCCCCCACCCCACCACCCCAAAAATGTCTGGCTCTTTTTCACTTTATTTTTTTTTTCCTCTTCCTTGTTACAATCCCTCTTCCCCTTCTGCCATGGGGTCAGGAGGGGTAAGGTGAGGCCAAGGAGTCTGAAACCACATCTGAGACCTGGCAGGGTCCTGCGAACATCTCCTCAACTGTCTTCTCATACCAATGGAGCACTTACTTGTACCTCAGAGAGGTCAAGCAATTTACCCAAGGCCACACAGGTAAGATTATAAGACAGAAATCCCGAACGGGGTGTGCAGGAGAGAAATTCCAGAGCTCTTTCCCCAAATTTTCAGTTAGCCCACCATAACAGTGACCCCAGGGTTGTGCTAGGAACACCTCAGGGCCCTAAACTCCGGGGCCCCCCACCAACCCAGTGTGGGTGGGATGACCAGGAGGTACGAAGATGCATTAAAACCAATGACTTGCAAGGTGAAGAAAGTGAGTGGCTCAGTTTAATGCCACTATGTTTTTAATTCCTCTCCAATGCTTGCCAATCTGCCTAAAAATAAAGGCTGGGCATACCTGTTGCTGGGATATGGGCAAGCTACAGTACAGAGCTAAAATATAATGGTGCTGGGTTGGTTTTTTTTTCCCCCCCTCTACTGTTTCTAAACAGGATTCTTTCTATTTATGACAACAGATATTACTAGTTTCCCATATGTGAAAGTGGTTCAAAAATTTTCAAACTGAGTTGATTTAAAGTCAAGTATTAAGTAAGCAACAGTACATGTCCATTGAGCACAAAACCATGGTGGTGGTTCACATGATAGTAAAATTTGAAAAATAATGGCTCTAGTCAAGTCAGTTTTCCACTTGCCCTCGTCCAGGGGTAAAAAATTACTGTTGTTTGAGAGGCTTTCTCAGAGCCCCAGAGAAGTCCCTAGATTCATGACCTCGGGTGAGTTAGCAGCGCTGGGTGTGGGGCTGTCCCAGTCCTCCAACATCCAACTGCTGACAGCACAGTGGCCTCAGTAAGCTGCAGGGACCAAAACCAGGCAGGAAACAGAAGACTGAACTCGCGTCTGTTCTAGAAGAGAACAAGGGGCTGCCCCGTTCACCAACGCGGCAACAGCGTCCCTGGTGCAGATGACCCTGAGTAGGGTGGGGAAGGAAAGTGAGTCAGGACACATTTGGAGGTCAGAACTTCAGAGCTAGTAAACAATCTGGCATACGGTGAGTGGTGGAAAGATCAAGATATTCAAGCAAATCACACCTCTGGGCCTCAAATTTTCTCTTAGGTTTGAAAGTAAGAGCTGGGCTCTGATCATCTACGTCCCTTCCAACTTCTAGAGTTCTTCTATTACTCCTTCCCTTCCAAGCAAACCATTAATCTGACAAACGGGGAACCCGGCGCTCAGAGGTTAAAGCAGCTTGCTCACGGGATGCTTTCTCTAGCATTAAAAATTTCTCTTCCAAGGCCACCTGGCTGGCTCAGTCAGTATAGCATGTGAATCTGGATATCGGGGTGGTGAGTTCAAGCCCCACATTAGGCGTAGAGATTTTTTTTTTTAAATTTCTCTTCCAGATGACATTAATGAGACATCCAGCATGGAAGAATGATGAGAATAAAGCAAGCACCCAGTAAATGTTAAATGAATGAACTTAAAGTGCTCACAGAAACTACCGGGAATCTCAACTCAAGTTTTCTTTCTGCCTCTTTTTTTAAACCCTCACCTTGCTACACACCCCATCTTGGACTTCTGGGACCTCCATCCTAACCCTACAAGATGAAGGGTCCAAAAAATTTACCTCTATTGCTTTACAGGCACCTGATACCCAAGGTCGCACTGACCAGGTGAAAAGTCCACATTCCTAAGACACTATGACCACACATCAAGACAACAAGGACAACAAAGAAATCTCAGAGGGTGGTCCTCTTCCCCTCCAGCCCACCCCAGGATATACATGGGGATGGTGTGTGTAAAGAAATGCCAAGCAATCAAAACCGGGAAAAAGTCTGAAGCTAAGAGCCACACCAGTCATCTCAGACTCCACCTGCCTCAGCAAAAAAAAAAAAAAACAAAAACATCCCGTGCTACAGTCGGCTTGGTGCCCACCAAGGTCAGGACGCGCTGGTGCAGGGCTGAGGAGCTCCGGCCCCCAGAGGAAGAAAGGGAGGAGAACGAGGTGATGGGCTGGGCTTTGCGGGAGGCCTCTCACCTCCATCTATATCCTAACAGCTTCCAAGTTGCTGTAAGATTCCTGGAGAACCAGTCTTCCCCATCAGCCCCCGCCCGCCCCTTCCTTTCCTTCCCACTCCCGGCCTCCAGGCCCCCTGGCTGCTCCTATGCTCTTCTCAGAGCCTCCCAGGCACCTGTCAAAAACCACACTCCGGGCTGCCTTCCCCTCCGCCTAGTGTCCTTCCTCCAGCAGTTTCCACTGAATCCTGGGTCCCTACTACCCCCTCCAAACCAGATGCTTCCCCATCTCCCCCCCGCCCACACACACATGCTGGGGAAAGCCTCCCCGGGAAACCCCAGAATCACACTGAAAGGTTGCTTCCCCAGCCCCCGCCCGACCTCTACCCAAAGGGGGCGGGGGGGGCGGGGCTAGAGCTTAAGGTCAAAACTCTGGGCAGGTGCCGGCTGGGGCCTAAGTCCTCCATCGGGGATGGCGGTGGGACTGCCTGGGCCAACCCACTGGCCGTCCTCTCCTCCTAAGTCCTCCATCGGGGATGGCGGTGGGACTGCCTGGGCCAACCCACTGGCCGTCCTCTCCTCACAGCAGCCCACCCGGGCAGGAGCGGCGCTCCAGACGGCGGGGGATTTGTGGGGGGGGGGGGCGCAGCAAACTGAAAAAAGCGCAAGAGGCTCGCAGAGTTCCCTTGCACCCCCGGCCCAGTCCCGGCTGGTGGCCCCTAGGGCAGGAGGGAATAGGAGGTGTGGGGGCTCCCCGGGGTCCTACCTGTCCCGCGGGTCGATCCAGCTGGTGGTGCGGCTCGTGTGATCTATGTAATAGACCTTGCCGTCGAAGTCGCGCGCCTCCTCCCAGCCCTCCGGCAGGGGCAGCTCTGGCCGGGGCATCTTCCCGAGCGCGGCCCGCGCTCCCCCATGCAGCTCCCGGCCGCCGCGGGGGCCCCCGGCTCAGCGGCTCCGGCCGGCCGTATCCAGTCCGGGCGGCCGCCGAGGCACCATGATGGCGGGGGGGGGTGGGGAGTGGCGCCCGCGGACTGGGGGCCCTAGTGGGGGCCGGCCGGGGTGGCGCCGCGGTCCATGTGGCCCTGCGGCTCCGGCTCGGCGCCGCCCGCTGCTCCCGCCGCCGGCCTCTCACGCTGCCATGTGCGCCCGCAGCGGCGCGGTGCGGGCGCGGCTACGCGCCCGGCCGGCGGGGCAGAGCGAGCCGAGCGCAGCTGCCGCCTGCCCTCCTCCGCCGCGCGGCGCGCTGCGCCCTCCACGCCGCCGCCTGCAACCGCCGCCTGCAACCGCCGCCTCCCCCTCTTCCTCCCCCTGGCCCGGCGCCGTCGCCCCTCTCCGCTGCGGCGTTCTGCGCTCGCTCGCTTTGCGACTTCTGCCTCCGCCAGGTGCGGCTCGGGCGGTGCAGGTAACCGCGCTGCCCCGGAAACGGGAGGCGGAGCGCGGGGCGCCTGGGTTCCCGGGTCCCCTCCCCGCGCCCAGGGCTGCGAGGGCGGGTCCTAGGACCCGAGACGCGCCCCCTCGTGGGACAGTCCGAACCGCCGGCCGCCCCTACACCGCCCCTGCGAGGGGAAAGGGAGACCGCCCCTTACCTGGGTCCGGGACACGGACTGGAGCCCTCGGTGGCTGGAGCAAGAGCCGCTACGCCCCTGCTTTCCAACGCTCCTGACTCTGCACCTCGCGTCTAAGGTTCTTGGTACAGGTGGCTCCAAATCTTACAACTCCCCGCTTCTCTTTTGTGTAGAATCAGGAGTCAGGCAAGAAGTGGTTAAATGGAAACATTCTTGCAATTCAGGGAACAGAAGTTTTCCGGGATCTCTGATCCCTTCCCCCAGCACACGCACCATCTGTCTCCCTCTCGTTCCATTCTCCCCATGTTGTTTCACCATTCCCCCCACCCCCGTATTTGCTAATGTAGCAGGCTCTCCTCTGAGTCCCTAAAATTAGGAGTGCATACTATGAATCCCCTTCCCCCGGGACGACGTCCAAGGGGTGTCAGGGGAAGCATTTCGTAAAGTAATAATAATGATGGTCTTGTTAGCTAAACTGAGTACTTAGCCTGTCCCAGGCTGTGGGCTAGCAGCTTCACCTGCGGTTCTGTCCTGTGATACTTTGAGGTGGGTATGTTATGGATTTGGGGGAAGAAGAAAGCAAAGCAAAATTCTATTTTGAAAAAAATTAGAAGAAAATTTAAAATCAGACAGCATTTCTTGAGAAAATAAAAATATGTAATTAAATATAAAAAGGTGGCATGACTGAGTTAAGGATCAGCTGGCTTGTCTGTGTTTCCTGAATGAGTTTGTAACCATTTTTGCCCTGGATATGTGGCGGGAAAATGGCCTGGAGGAATGGAGCCCAGTGCAGTGTATCCTGTTGGCTGAGCCCTCCAGTCTCCCAGAGGGGCCAGCATCCTGTGCTGTGTGGGGCAGAGTGTGCTGAACAAGGGAAGGAATCCCCATGTTTGTGGCCTCATTTTCTCTTAATAGATAAGACCTACCATGGCAGTTACTTACCTCCAAATGCCTTCTGCAAAGTCAGTTACTCCCCTGAGGCCTGACCTAGGGCTTAGTGTTTAGCCCTTCCTACCCTCCTTCATTCCATAGATGCCATGCACAGAAGTCCAGAATCATGGGCCTCCAACTGGCCTGCAACACCCAAAAGTAGGAGTTCACCATCCTTTTAAGGAGGGTTCCCATAGCCCTCTTCACTTCCTCGGCTTGGGCCAAGCTTTCACAATATAAAAACCTATTGATTAGAGCAATAGCTCAAAAGCAAAGCCAGCATGGTGGAGGTGCTTCACACACATGATCTCATATAAACCTCACAGCAGCCCTCTGGAGTAGGGCACACTTATACCCATTTTACTGATGAGAAAACTGAGGCTCTAAGATGCTATATTATTGGCCAGGGATATAGAACCAATAAGTAGACTCAGGTCTGTTTGACTCCAGCACTTAACCATTAACCTAATCTTTCTCTCTCTCTCTTTCTTTCTTTGATTATGCTGCAATTCCTGGACCTACCCATGGTCTGGATCTGAAATATTATGGATGCTGATGAATGCTTGTCTCTGTTGATGCTTGCTTCATAAGTATTCCGCTAAGAAGCAAAAGCTCTGGAATCAGTCTGTTTGGGGGCAGGATTGTATGTGACCCGTGTGACCGTGAGTAATTTGCTTAACCAAGGTCTCCAGTCTTAGGTCTGAAAAACATCACATAGATTCCACAGGGCTTGTATTAATGGCTATAGGAGCTGAGAAATGTAGAGGGCTTGGCACTCAGAGCTAAGCCAGCATCTCAGGGGCCTCATTGTGGTACCTTTGGAGTGCCGTGCCTGGCGGCAAGAATGCCCTTATGAAATATGAATCAGTGAACTATTTTGTGTCCCAAACACAATCCTTTCCCTTCCTGAAAATTGTGCATGGTTGCTTGTGACAATCTTCCCAACTGCTGATTTCCTTTTGATCTTCTCTTGCAACCCAGCCTTCTCACTGGTTGGTGTCGGTTGTGAAGGGAAAACGTCGTAGACCGCCAAGTCCAGCTTGCTTTTTAGCCCGGGTGCCCAAGCCCTGGCATTTTCCAAATGCCTTGTTCCTTTGGAAGTTTAGACATGAGGAGGGGAGCAGGAAAGAGAGACCACAACAGGAATTGACTCCTTAAAGCCTTCGTCTGCTTTTGAGTCCTTTCTACCTCCATCAACCGCCCCCCGCGCCCCCCCCCCCCCCGCAACAAAAGAATCCTAGGTTATCTCCCAGAAGCTGCAAGCAGGGTGAGGTAATAAAACAGATGACTGCCTGCCCCATGTGATGGCGGGTGAATCATCCCCAGGCATTCTCTGAGGCTGAGGACAAACGTGAAAGGGATTAAAGGTAAAACCAGCTCAGCCACGCGGTAGGGCAAGCTGGACATTATTCTACAGGTGACTGAACTGCAGGAATGCGAACTGAAGACAAGAAGCCCAGCCTCTCCCGGCCTTCCTCCTGGGGCCTTGTCTGGCTGCCTGTGAGCTGAGTTGGAGGCATGGCCGGTACTGGAGCTGAGCAGAAGTGACCACAGCACAAGCCTTTCCTCATTCACTTTCACATCCAGGGGGCCCATAGGAGACACCTGAGCCTGGCACCCACTTGAATCCTTTCCCCCTCCGCATGAGCAAAGAAGAAAGGCCAGTTTGCACACATGTGTTTCAGAGAATTTTAGAGTGGCAGGGTAACATATTTCATGAAGATGGTAAGGAGGAGAAATTAAGCTTAAAAAAAAAAAGGAACAGACATGTCAGCAGTAGTTTCTTGTTCGCTTGTACATTCTTCATGGAAATGGAGGCTGTGAAGACCTCTGCTGAGATTTTTCTTCCGACTCCATGCCCGAATCCCCCTACCCCATGCTGTCCCTCCCACACATCTCAGAGAAGGCACACAGTTCCATTTCTATGATTGAGCCCAGAATGTCCTTTTTCTATAGCCATGCATTATTTGAGGTTCTTAATTGGACCCATGGACTGTTCCTTTCAATGATGGGAAAACATGTCCTAACCCAGAGAAAATTAGGATGGAAGAAACCCTGGCATTATGAGAGCTGAGGCAGAAGAGGTGGCTTTTTATTTCTGGGTCCTCAATGCTTAATACAGTGCTTGAAAATAAATCAAAATTAGTCTGGCACAGCCTACTCACTTTATAAGTAGATGGAGTGTCTATTAATGACTTATTGCCCTGGTTCTTACTAGTCCCATTTTACAGATGTGTAAACTGAGACTCCAAGAAGTGAAGTGACTTTCTTACAGTGACATACTAAATAATAGAGCCAAGATTTCAACTCAGCTCCTTCCAGTAAGTAGGTTTTGGCTTCTGAATTCACAGCTATATGGGTTCTAGAGTGCCAATGAACGAGGAACTTCCAAGACACAGAGGAACATCCAGGAGATCATCTTGAAGTCTGGCTTTCATTTGAATTGCTTATCTACTTGGAGTGGTTAGAGGTGGGAGAGGGCATGCTGAGGTCATAGCTGAGTTTACAATGAGAGGGCAGGATCGAGGTGCGGGTTCTGACTTCTAAGCAGAAGAGAGACCAGCCTGATTCTTGACCTCCACCTGTGCTGTCAACAAGACCTACCAGGGGGGTTAGGTATCAGGGGGTTTAATAGGCTACGCTTTCTCCGTGGAAGGAGGAGCACTTTTCTCCCTATGCTGCTTGCCCCTCTCCTCCCCCCGCCTTTTTTCCCCTTGCTTGTTCATTTATTAACTGAACTGGATTTCTTCTGGACAAGAGGCTACCCCAGGGCTGGCAGGAGAGGTTTTGATTCTCTCATCCAAGAATCTTCTGGGTACTGGGGGCTGGAAACTGTTGAGTCTTTCACCCAGGGATGAGGAAATGAATTATGCACCGAAGGAGGAGGTGGAGATGAAATCTCAGTTTCATGGGTGGGGTTGTGGAGACGAGAAAGAAAAGTGTGAGCAGAGGGAGGGAGTTCCTGCAGAGTGGTGCTTTTCTCTACCCCCACCCCAGCAGCAGAAGAGGAACCCTGGTGGGAAATAGGGGTGGGGGTGCCAGTGCAGTACCCAGCAGGCTGGCTGAAAGAAGCCTCTCTCGGGTATTTATAGAGCTTGCATCGCCATGGTACCCAGGCTCTGAAATAAAACTCCAGCCCAACTGCTTAGAGACGGGTAGAATGAAAGGCTCTTTACCTGTCCATTGCTCGCAGTTTGATGCCTCATTCTCCGAATTTTGGATGAGCAGTCTCCATGAATTTTATAAGATTCTAGCAAGAAGAGTGTAGGGTTGGGGCTTAAACCCAGAGAAGTTGCCTCAGCAGGGGGGCTGGGTGGAGCAGTGGGAAATACAGAGGGGGCAGGGGAGAAGCCTGTGCATGAAACTTGACTCTGCTTTTTGACCGGTGTGTGACTCTTAGCATTAGACTGCGCCTCCTTGAGCCTCAGTTTCCC